CGAAAGAGAAAGTCGACGAATAGAAACGATCAATGTTACTTAGGACCTAATGCCTTGTTCTGCATGATAGCTTTTTTGGAAAGGTCTACACGGTAAATTAATCTGAATGATATTAGAATCCCGTTCACTTAAATTCGAAAACCGTTGGTCCCTCATAGAATGAGTAAATTTTAAATCAAATGTGAGTAAATGTCACTTTTATATGAGAAAATATCACTCAAATATCGGTGAAATTGAATCAAAGTTAATAAAATATTTACTCATTCTACGAGAGACCTACAGAGCCTGGATTTATAAAGGAAACATAGGAAAAGTCATTCCAATCGAGCAGAAGACCTGTCAAATGGATAAGATGTCGCCTCTTTATAAATTCAGGCTCTTTAGAGAGACCTACGCTTTTACGAATGTGAGTGAACTCAATCTGAGTGAGTGAACTACGCTTTTGCGAATGTGAGTGACTCAAATATGAGTCAGTTTCATTTGCCGTGAAGTTTGTTTTGACGGCAGGATTTACTGCACGTTATTTCTTAACAACCCTAAATAGGGCTAGCCTAATTTGAGCAAATAAAGCTTGAACTGACAAGATGTCAAATGAACAACATCGTTCGGATTCTGGTCGATGTTTTCCATTCGTCATCTTGTCAATACCTACTTTTTTTACTCAATTTTGAGTAGCCCTATTTGTGACGGATACGAGTCAGGATACTTGCAACCCCATATTAGAGTCAGTGTATAATGAGTCACGCCAAGAGAAAAACAGTTGAACTCGCATCACGGTTTTCGAAAGATTCCCATTCTTTTCACTTGGCAACAGAGGTCTTCTACAACAACTTCAAATGACTTCTAGCGAGAGAAAAAAATATGGCGGCTGTAGTAAATCATTATATCAGTGATTTTGTCAAATTATCTTAACCAAAAACCGGAGTGATTTGAGATTTGGGCGCAATTGCATTTGTAAACAAACACGTCAATCGCCGATTTCTCACGGATGAAAGCTCAATTTTCAAAAATTAATAACACTACGAGGTGAAGGAATTAATCCTCTTTCATTTGACATTGCTTATTTATGAGATTGAGGTTTTATTCACGAGAAATCGGTGATTGACGTGTTTGTTTACAAATGCAATTACGCCCAAATCTCAAATCACTCCGGAAATAGTAGAAATTATCATTACTAATCATTACCGAGCGTATCCCATGACAATTTAACGCTCACTGTGTGTTTATGCTCATTAGACTGATGCAAATTTGAAGTTTTCGCTCCACAGTGCTAAAACGGTTCCAAATTGGGTCCTGATTAGCCTCCCAAAATTTAAACTGATTTGGTAAGAAACTGACTTGGCACAAACCATTTGAAGTTTGAATGGAAATTACTATGGGAAAACCTTACTTTTTGTTCATTGCCTTCTAGCTTTTTTCCATATTAAACTGTTAAATAGTTCTGTTGCTATTCTAACGGGAAATTTTCTCAGCTACAACTTAGCGCAAGATCGTTTTTCTGCCAAACGTCAAATTAAATAGTTATTAATTGTTTAAGAAATTGATAATCTTATGGCATGATCAAGCAGCTGTTTTGTGGGCAACACTGAATTCTGCCGTGTGACATAGTAGCCATGATTTTTGTGCCCTAATCCAAGCGCCAGAAACACCAATGTTGCCTGCTGAACAGTTGATTGAGCATAATCATAAGACATCAGCAGCGACTTGAATCATTAATAGCTTTTCTTCCTTACATGTTGTCGAAAAGTGATCTTGAAGAAAGTAGTAGCTGAGAAAATTTCCCAAATGCTCAACTATTATGTTTTAAAGCAGAGGGATATGGTGAATTGTTATATAGATATGATCAAAAAAATTGGTTTTCCCATAGTAATTTCCATATAAAATTCAAATGGTTTGTGCCAAGACAGTTTCTTACTAAATGAGTTCACATTTTGGAAGGCTAATCAGGACTCAATTTGGAACCATTTGAGCACTGTGGAGCGAAAATTTCAAATTTGCATCAGTCTAATGCTCATTTCTTCGATTATATTTTATATTTTATTGTAATACCTTTCGTGGACCATACGTCAACACTGTTGGTTCGAATTGTGACACACTTGGAGTCTATGTGTGTCACATGGTGATATCAATAGCTTTGCACGTCATAGAACAATGTTCTACAATATTCTACTGTATCGACTTCTGCTTAACCTACTAAAAAATTGAAATGACAAATATATAAACAAAGCTGCCAGATGCCAGAGCTTACACATGCCTTTTTAAATGGGTCTGATTAGCGAATTGATCCTGTACTGTTGGGATGTGCTGCTGCCGTTGTCTACGTACGATCTCACTAGGCCACGGTTGTTCTCATATATTAGACTGGTTGATAAGGATGAAGCTACAACTCATGTGTTCCATGATTACCTTGCAGAACAAGCAATTCACATAGCATTGAAATGCAAAACACTTCAAATCCATCTGTTTTGAACAGTAGTGCGATTCAATGTGCAATACACTTGAATTGATAGAGAAAGATTATCAATATTTAAAAGTTTGAAACACTAGAAATCAACGTGTAGAACACATTGAACCATGGTGAAATACAGGTAAAATAAATGTGATTGCTCATATGAAAAATCAAGTATTTAAACGCTACGATCAGAGATGTGGACTTTCTTGAGTGTACTCAAATTTGAGTTGTTTAGAAATTACCCTTTCGAACCGTCCTTTCCTATGGGGGAGGTGACTGTCAAATACAAACAATCGTTGCCTACCTCGTATAACTGGTTCCAAACGACAACAAAACCGCAACGATGGTTTGTTTATGTTTGGAACCAAATTAACATAGGAAAAATCAATGAGCGTAAACAGGTGAGGCGCAGTAAATTTGTCGCCTCTTTCGTTCTCCAGCTGATAAAATGGATGACTAAATTTGACGTCACACTCCTTCAACCGTTTGAACAGCGGGAGAACGAAGGAGATAACAAACTCAATGAGCCTTACATTTACATTAGAGTCGGTGTATACTGAGTCACGCCAAGAGTGAAGCCAAGTCTACTTACTGAACTGTCAAACCGGCTACCTATCGGGTAAAGTAAACAACAATTACGATGCTATGAAAGGTCCACGAAAGGTATTGAAATAAAATATAAAATATCAGGCATAACATTTGATAACGGCACAAAAGCATTTGTAAACAAATTTTCTAAGGCCCTTTTCAGGCGAACCAAAGTACGCCCACGCAAACCAATACCACTTTCGGAAAGGTGATAGTTGCCCTTATCCGATGATGTTGTTGGTTTGCGTAGGCGTACTTTGGTTTGCGTGTAAAGGGCCTTAGAAAGTATGTTTACAAATGCTTTTGTGCCGTTATCAAATGTTATGCCTGATATAATCGAAGAAATGATTAACCACGCACTGAGCAATAAATTGTCATGGGATACGTTTGGTAATGATCCCTTATGAGAATTTTTACTATTTTTGGTTAAGATATTTTGACTAAATCACTGATATAATGATTTACTACAGCCGCTATTTTTTTTCTCGCTAGAAGTCATTTGAAGTTGATGTAGAGGTCCTCTGTTGCCAAGTGAAAAGAAAGGGAATCTTTCGAAACCCGTGATGCGAGTTCAACTGTTTTTCTCTTGGCGTGAATCATTATACACCGACTCTTATTTACATATCATTGATGGATTTTCAGTAGGCCGCACATCCCACGCATAGAGATTGCTAAAGTGTGATTGTGTCAGTGATTTGTTTTCATCTGGAAAAATTTTCGCTATGAAGTGTTTTTTCCCGATGAAAACATTTTGCGTAATCGTATACGTGACGTAGTGTGCATACGATAAACGTCAGCAAACTCAGTGGTGTGAAAGGATAAGAAACGATCCGCTATGTTTCACGAAATTTTAAAATTGCCAATAGGGTTTCCCTATAGGAGTGAACAGTTGCAGAGTCGTCGTCAACGCGAATGGTTTCACCAATACCAAAACAAAGTTATCAAATAAAGTTCGTAGGCCATAATTAGGAACACGTCTCAAAATTACGTCCCCAATGTTAGGCCTATAGTAATAAAGCGCAATGTAAAGTTACAATAAGAGTGAAAAGTGTGAAATTGATTTTTAGGGCTATCATGTTACATAAAGGTAAGTCATTTCAATTCATGAAATTATCAGGTTTTTTATGACCACTGCAGTGTAGATTTTCGTTAGTGCAATAATACGGCAAGATCATGGCGCTTTTAAATCTAAAAATATGAATATTTCACAAAACTTTTTCTTTGAAAAAGAGGAATATACGTTCTAAATTTGTCTCAAAAATAGGCAATTCATTTACGGTTTAAAATTTCACAGCAGATGTGGTATTAGTTTACCATTACTATTGTGTATTATTGCTGAATAAATAAGTAATTTGGTTGATAGGCCAAAGTGAGGAACTAGGCTGACATTACATCCCATAACCCTATCTATTTAAGGTGAAAATGGTCCACAAATTTCTTTCAAGACCGCTTTCCAGCGTACTCTTAACAGCACTACGGCTAAGCTAACCATCCTTCCACGCACTACTATATCAAGCTCCGGAAAACTAAATTTCAAATCAGCCCCAAAATCCACTTGATCCTTTATCTACATGGGGAACAACATAACAAACGAGTAAGCTCTCCTCTAAGAGATCAACCTAAAGCGCAGCCAGCCAGCAGCCACTTGTTTGCCTCTAAATCTTTAGCTCGAAAATCTACTATAGAGCGCTTGAAACTTCCTAAGGAAGTTTCCAAAATGGACGCGAAAACCAATCATTCCTCTAGACTGACTAAAGAAATCACCTACCTAAACAAAGAAAAAGGAACAATCAGGGTGAAATCAACAATAGCAGAAATGACGGAAAACATAAATATAGAGAATAGTACGATGACTGGAAAACAAGAATTGGAAATAGATCGATGTCAATGACTTGAAAACAAAAGATTATCTCTCTTGTTTGGTTTTTTTTTTTGGTGTATTCATAGTTCTCAAATTTACCTGGAAACCATCATATGTCCAACTACCAAACTTCATTTCACATCTTTGATCATCAAATGGAAACCACGTTATATCTATTTTACATGTTGATTTGAAGATTCCTGGTGGCACATATAAACAAGAACCATTATTACGCACGACTACATTTGTTGGATATGTGCCATCAAAGCCTTCATCAGCACTAAAATATAAATATACGGTAATGATGAATTTTCCAACTGCTGTCCACTTTCATTTCAGTTTTGGGGCTATAACTAGTGAAGAGGTGTGTTTAAATCTGTCTAGATTAAAGTAAGATTAGTATTTTCTTGGTAGGTTAAATCTTTTCTTTTTTTTTGTATGTAAAGGAACAGTCCTAGTTGGTGGTTATTATATCATTCTCATGGATACAAAACAGAAGGGTGTTTGTAGCTCGTTTTTTGGTTTTGAATTTTTCCATTTGTATTTGTATGTGTTTGTGTGTCTGTGCGGATGTATGAATTTGAATTGAGTGGTGATTTTTGATTCAACTACAAGTGAGAGGCACATTTTTAGTGAGGATTGATTGATTGATTGTTCTTTTTACGATCGTCAAGATTTCCACGATAGTTCAATCGCAACGAAATTCGCTGTTCGCTCGCCCCTGCACTAGTGGGGATGTGCGAGGGGGTGGCGTCCAGTCAGCAGTGGGATAATTCGGCCGAAACGCGCACGGGCAGGTCAAGCGGAAATTACGGTGCCCTGGTGCACGGAAGCGAGATAGCGAGGAGTTGGTGGGACGAACTGGTTGTCACAGGGCAGACGACTGTGACATGTACCCAGACAACTGAAAGTCATTATGGTGAAATTTTGAGCATATTTCATGCAATCGTTCTACTTTAAACTTATTCCAGTTGCCTGGGTGGAAAATAGTCGGACAGGATCGCCGGAATAGAAAAGCGGGATCACAGAGGGGAGTCCTTTTTTCCGTTATCTAAGGTGCGTTCAATGAATGTGTGTGTGTAAGAGTGTTTTCGCATATGTGTGAGTAACAGTCTGTAGATCAAGCGTGCAGCACACGGTGAATTTCTAAAAAACTTTCTGACCACGCAGTTTGCAAAAATTATCTCGCTGTCCACCTCGCCTTGTTCGAGGATTATCGTTTTTTTCCTCGGCTTTCATTTGTTGATGCTGTGAGCAACAAGCGAATTTCGTTACGGAGTGGGGGGTTTTGGCATAACTCCAATGTTTGACAGGCACACACAGGTTCAACTGGTGGTGCGTTTTTCGGCCGTGGAGTTTTCGCCGGAAGCGGTCGACGACGACGAGGACGACGAGGAGGACGGCAAAAAGAGTAGCGGAGGGTGCAATTATTGCATTATGCTCGCCACCGTCGTTGTCGTTGTCGTCGTCGTCGTCGAAGTTGAGTTGGACCGGAGCAAATTGGGTGTCATTTGCGGTGTGGTGGTTTCGAAGTGGGGTAGCTGGTCCTGTCAGCAGAGCAGTGGAAATAATTCAATTTCTTTTTTGTCGTTAATTGAAGGGGTGGACGTGGCAACAATTGACGTGTGTTATTAAATTTTCCGAAATCACTTATTACGTGTCATTAATATTGTAAAGATTAATTCAGTACGTCGTTTGATACGTGCAGAACATGGCAGCGTTATAAGGAAAAAGTTCAACGGCTCTCCGATTTTTCAAGAGATATATGGAGAAAGAATATTTTTAGCATAAAAAGTTCAATCCAATTTAGGAAGTATTGGAATGTGTAATAATTACTTAATTTAATCGTTTTTCGCTTTTATGGATCATTATTTGTAGATATTCCAAATAATCTGACACGAATTATTAAATAATAACTCGAGAAACGCTAAGCAAACATAGCGATTCAATAAGAAACTAAGCGGATTCAAACTCCAGAGTCTCATGGATATTTCAGAACTTGGATCTCAAAATGACTTGGTTGGAAGAGATTTTCGGGATAAAAATGTCGAGTAAAACCTCAGTAGCCAGGCTGCAACCTCGAGGAACAAGTGAAAAGAGCCTAAGTACCAAATCTCAACCATGACTTGAAACGTCCGTATTTATATTTTTTCAACACTTTCTTTAATGGGGGGTATCGTGCTGGTTAGCAGGTATCAACGTAATCTCGTTCAGCAACTTATACTTTACTGTTACATATACAATCCATAGGCAGATACAAAGGGATGATGTTACGTTTTGCTGTTTTCATGACCATTTTTCCAAGTATATACATTAGGGTGGGTTGCAGCTTCGACAAAGTTGTTTGGTATAGTATTTTCCAGCTAAGTCCGAGTTTTGGTGAAAATTGAGCAATAATTGGGTTTTGTAAATGGATCGTTCCGTTTCCCATACATTTTCCCATACACAATTTAAAAATCTCCCACAAATCGAGATTATAACCAAATTTGATCAAATTTTGCCCAGTTGTTGGGGACCTGAATAAGCATTTAAAGAGAAGTGGTGAACCCACCCTAATGTAAATGATCTTTTAAATTTGTCGAACCTATTAATGGAATCCCTTTATGAAGAGCTTTGAGTGTGTTGGTTTATTTCCTTTAAAGTTCGTTATAATTGCTTGTCTTTTGACAGATACGCGTATTTCGTCTAATACTTGCAGACTTCATCAGTGTCGAAGCTCTTCGTAAATTATTGAAAAAATGGCCATGAAAACAGCCAAACGTAACAAAACATTGAAGAACTTTATTAGAAAATTAATAAGGCATCCCCTTGGATCCCCCTATGAATAGTACATGGTACAGTAGGGTATAAGTTGCTGAACAAAATAACGTTGAGATCAGCTGCTAATACCTGCTACCCTGCAAGATACAGCCCCTTAAAGATAGCGTTAAAACATTATAAAAACATTATAAAAACGGACGTAAATCCTTGAAACGAAGAGATTGCGTGGGAAGTTTTATAAACTGCTTGGAAGTTCTATGATGATCTCGGAAGTACCATGCTCTACTCGGAAGTTATATAAGAGTTTTGGATGTTCTATAAACTTCTCGGATAGTCGAACATTCTATGATCATCTGGAAAGTTCTATGAGGATCCCTGAAGTTCTATGAACATCTCGAGAGTTCTGTGAACAGCTCGGAAGTCCTGTGAACTGCTCGTAAGTTCTATGAACTAGTCGGAAGTTCTAAGAACTGTTCAAAAGCTATGAACTGCTGGAAAGTTCTATGAACTGCTCGGAAATTCTACGATAATCTAAAAAGTTCTATGAACATTTCGGAAGATCTGTAAACATTTCGGTAGTTATGTGAACTGTTCGTAAGCTCTTTGAATATCTTGGGAGTTCTACAAACATCTCTAAAAATCTAGGAATTTCTCAAAAGTCCTGAGAACAGCACGGAAGTTCTATGAACTGACTGGAAGTGCTAGGGACATTTTGTAAGTTCTATGGACACTTCGGAAGTTCTAAGAACTGTTCAGAAGCTCTATCTACTGCTCAGAAGTTAAAATAAATTCTCGGAAGTTCTATGAACTGCTGGAAATTTCAATGAACATCTCGGAAATTCTATGATCATCTAGAAAGTTCTATTGACATTTAGAAGGTTCTGTGATCATCTCGGAAGTCATGTGAACTGCTCGTAAGCTCTATGAATATCTCGGGAGTTCTACAAACATCTCGAAAAATCTATGATTTTCTCGAAAGTACTGAAAACATCACGGAAGTTCTAAAAAAGGGTTGGAAGTTCTAGGGACACTTAGGAAATTCTATGGTCACTTTGGAAACTCTAAGAAATGTTCAAAAGCTCTATGTACTGCTTGGAAGTTTAAATAAATTTTCGGAAGTTTTATGAACTGCTGGAAAGTTCTATGAACTGCTCGGAAATTCTATGATCATCTAGAAAGTTCTATGAACATGTCGGAAGATCTGTGAACAGCTCGGAAGCTCTATGAATATCTCCTGAGTTCTACAAACATCTCGAAAAATCTATGAATTTCTCGAACGTCCTGAGAATAGAACAGAAGTTCTATGAACTGGCTGGAAATTCTAAGGACACTTTGGAAGTTCTATGATGACTCCGGAAGCTCTAAAAACTGTTCAGAAGCTCTATGTACTGCTCAGAATTTAAAAAAAATTCTCGGAAGTTCTACGAACCGCTGAAAAGTTCTATGAACATCTCAGAAATTCGATGATCATCCAAAAAGTTCTATGAACATCTCGGAAGATCTGTGAATAGCTTGGAAGTTCTGTGAACTGCTCGTAAGTTCTATGAATATTTCTGGAGTTCTTCAAAAATCTTGAAAAATCTATGAATTTTTCGAAAGTCCTGTGAACAGCACGGATGTTCTATCAACAAGTCGGAAGTTCTAGGGACACTTCGGAAGTTCTATGAACACTTCGGAAGCTCTAAGAACTGTTCAGAAGCTCTATGTACTGCTCGGAAGTTTAAACAAATTCTCAGAAGTTCTATGAACTGCTGGAAAGATCTATGAACATCTCGGAAATTCTATGATCATCTAGAAAGTTCTATGAACATTCCGGAAAAACTGTAAACAGCTCGGAAGTTATGCGAATTGCTCGTAAGAACTATGAATATCTCGGGACTTCTACAAACATCTCGAAAAATCTAGGAATTTCTCGAAAGTCCTGAGAACAGCACGGAAGTTGTATGAACTGGTTGGAAGTTCTAGGAACACTTCGGACGATCAATAAACACTTCAGAAACTCTAAGAACTGATCAGAAGCTTTATGTACTGCTCAGAAGTTTAAATAAATTCTCGGAAGTTCTATGAACTGCTGGAAAGTTCTATGAACATCTCGGAAATTCTATGATCATCTAGAAAGTTCTATGAACATTTCGGAAGATCTGTAAACAGCTTGGAAGTTATGTGAACTGTTCGTAAGTTCTATGAACATCTCGGGAGTTCTACAAACATCTCGAAAAATCTATGATATTCTTGAAAATCCTGAAAATAGTACGGAAGTTCTATGAACTAGTTGGAAGTTCTATGAACTAGTCCGAAGTTCTAGGGACACTTCGGAAGTTCTATGAACACTTCAGAAGCTCTAAGAACTGTTCAGAAGCTCTATGTATTACTCAGAAGTTTAAATAAATTCTCGGAAGTTCTATGAACTGCTGGAAAGTTCACTTAACTGCTCGGATATTCAATAATCATCTAGAAAGTTCTATAAATATTTCGGATGATCTGTAAATAGCTCGAAAGTTATGTATACTGCTCGGAAGC